TATATATAGTTATTCGTGTTCTGCTTCTAATCTAATGAATCAATCCACTCAGTTAATTCAAATAAATCCATTCGAATGAAGTGATTTGAATTATCAAAAATTTATTTTAGGAGAAATATTTATCTTTTCTTGCATTCGGTAAATCATTAATAAAGTGGCAATAATTCAAATAAGGTTTTCAGGAAACTAAAAATAATTCGTACAAACTCAAATATAGATTCTTTTAAAATAAATGAATCAGTCAACTTATAGTTGATTCAAATAAATCTATTCAAATAAACAAAAAATTATTATAAGTAAAAAAAAACTAAAAAAAAAAAAAAATTTCTTCTTTAATCCTATATCTTTTGCAGTCAGTAAACTATAAATAAAATAGTTATAAATTAAACTAAAATTTTCACGAAACTAAAATTTGTAGTGCAGATAGTTGAGCAAATATCAGGGATAGTTTACAACAGCATGTGCAATAGTTATAAGCATTTTAAACACAGCCACATTCAAAATATAAAGATAAATGTGGCACTGCAAATGGCTAAAATTTCAACAATGTCAAAATACAATGGCATCTTTACAAAACAGTAAAAGAGGGTACAGTGTGATGATTGGCAATTAAGATCTTGATTTGGCACAAAAATAGATATATTTTTATCTTTAGGTATTATAAGATATCCAGACCACAACATTTCCTTAAACTCTTTTTCCATATAAATAACGATTTAAAAAATAGTTTAAGCACTTAAAAGGTTTTCAATTTTGTGTTACTCACACTATGGCTAAACAAAATTCATTCGTGGAAATACAATGAAAACTAATTTCAAATATGAAATTCATTCGCTAAAACAAAAATTGATAAAATTATCTATATACAATTCAATGTACAGTTAAATAAACTATTCAGCTTTATCACATTTTTAAACTTTTCTTTTATATTGCAGAAATAACCAGTCAGTGGGTATTTTTTAAATCGTGATTTCAAATACCATAATAAAAATGTGAAGAGCATAGTGAATTAACATGTTAAATGAGATTATAAAATATTTGGAACAGTGAAAATTATTCCGGCAAGCTTTTCAACGAGGAAATTTTCAATTAACATTTTGCTGATGTTAATATATATTGTGAATCAGATTTTCTGAAAAAACACGTTCTTGCACATAGTGAATAAACATGTTAAATGATATTGTTATATGTTTACAGTAAAAACTATTCTGGCAAGCTTTTCAACAAGGAAATTTTTAATTAACATTTTGCTGATGTTTCTATATATTGTGAATCAGATTGTTTAAAAAAACACGTTATTGCATTAAGTGGTTTTTAACATAGTGAATAAACATGTTAAATGAGATTATAAAATGCTTGAAGCAGTTAAAACTATTCTGGCAAGCTTTTCAACAAGGGATTTTTTAATCAACATTTTACTAATGTTTCTACATATTATGAATCAGATTTTCTGAAAAAACACGTTCTTGCACTAAATTTCCGCAATATGTTTTTGCACTAATTTCATTTGACATGTTCTTACAAAAGTTTACTTAACATGTTCTTACACTAAGCTCTCGATTTCATTTTTCACATAACATCTTCAAGTATTTGTCATTTGAAAAAATATGTGATTTTTTTAACGGGAGAGGCATTCAACAAGGAAGTGTTATTATGCATTTGATATGCATTAAATATGCATATTATTTGCATTAAGGATGAATTTGACACAGTTAGGTATGGCAATCTGTAAAGAAGATGGCCAATTGACCAATAAAGTAGTAAGGCTATCAAAAACTATACTCATTTTCAGTTTGCTATAGTTAAACTTACAGAAATAAAAACGCATAAGTAATATTAATTTGTTTTAAATTATAACGATAGCAATAATTTACTAAATTCATTAAAGTATAATTTATGAAATAGACGGCAAAATTTGTGTTTGATTAATTAGTTATAAATTTAAAATCCTTTAAATAAAACTAATTAATCCATATAGTTCTTAGTCCAAATTTTAGCGAAATATATTTAAATATAAGGCTAATGAAGTAAGAAAAAAAATTTAGCCTCAATTAAATTAAAATTTTAAAATGAGTTATTTTTGATAACACTTTTTCAACAACAGCAAATGTTTAGAAAATATAATTTAGTAAGGAATAATTACTATGGGCTCTTAAAACAATTTTTAAGGATTGCATTTCTTTTTTAAATAACTGCAATAAAATTTATACAAAATTTATATGACGATTTGCATAACATTTCAAATATTCTTCCACCATTTCTATTTTTCATCTATAAAAACTTCAGTAAAACTGTTCATATAATAATATATATATATATTAGTATCACGATTTCGCTTATAACAGTTTTATATTTTCTTCATATCTTTTTCATTCAAAAGTCCTAAGAAAATATTTTCCTTTCATATCTCCACATAGTCTAAAAATAATCACTCCAGTCAACAAAGTCCGCGCTTCACATTATTTATTAATATTTCACCTATTTCCTGGAAAGGAAAAAAGAAAAATAAATCAATAAAATTATTAGAATAAATATTAAAATACGAGCACAATTTTTTTACAGTAAGATAGCAGCAATGTAGAATAATAATTATAATAAACTTTTTATATGGTTAACAACATTCTATTTTTAAGGATTTAACAAGCATTCCACTAGATGGCGCTGCTATATTGACACTAAGGTTTTTAACTGGTTCAAGAACATAATATTTGGGGATAGATTATTGAAGTTTCGCTTTGTCGTTCACACAAATGAGAAGAGCAATTGATTTCCAACTAATAAATTAATCAAAATATCTTAAAAAAGTGATTTAAAAAAAATCAAAATAGTGTTACTGTGCAGGTAAAACGGTGAAAATCGGACGCAGAGTTATAAATAATTCTAAAACATATACAATGAATAAACTAAAAATTCAATAACAAAACCTTGGAATGAATTTGTTAAGAAATAGAATACTACTATCAGAATAAAAAGCATCCCCCCCCCTTACAAGGCGCAATTTGAGCTAGATTATCAATTAAAGCAATCGTTGTAGTTAATATAGCTTGCGCTTCTAATCGAAAATTTCAATATCCTCAATTTTTTTTATAAATTAATGAAAATGACAATTTGTTAACTTAATTTATATCTTAATATTATATTAATAATTTATCTAACAACAAAAAATAAAAAAATTAGGCTTTTCATGAAAATTTCGTATTTAAAATTCTTCGAATTTAATTCACAACGAAAAGTTATCAAACATAAACAATAATAAGCGTTAGTCGACGAGTTACAAAAAAATTTTTGAAAATACTATATTGCTCTAAAAATGAAAATAAATAATCTGAAAATAATGATCAATAAATAAATAAAAAAAAGTCTTCTTAGTTTATTTACAATTTCTCGGAACTGGATCTAAAATCCATAAAATCTTCAGAAAATCCGTAGTATGTGGCATTCCTCGAGAAAAACTTCTTGTTTTACATTTGTTTTGCATTCGTTTGTTTTACATTCCAGATGTTGTTGTGATGAAGAAAAAAAAACGAGAAAAAAAACTAACTTTAACTTCAATTAAGAGAATAAACGAACCGCTTCCATTATGACAAGCGGGGCCGACGGAAAACAATGAGAAGTAAGGTGAAGAAAGTATAGATAAGGCAAGTTTAAAAAATCAGACCGACTAGACACATTTAGGAAAGTTAAGTATAGAGAGGAAGAGGATAAAAAAGAGAACGAAAGTTGTTACGGAAATAGAGCTAAATTCTTGATAACAATAGAATACGACTTGTAAGCTAAATTTACTTCTTTCGTTAGCAGATTTTCTTACAAAACACTACTCCCCCGCATTTTTTTTTTTTTTTTTTTTTTTTTTTTTTTTTTTTTTNAACTGCTGTTGAAAAAAATGGTATTGTAATCAAGCTGATAGTGTAAATTCTTTTTTGAAGCGAGGTTTTTTTTTTTTTTTCTTCGTTTTCTTTTTCTAGTACTTGGTCTTGAATCAAATTTTATATGATGAATCCTGGAAATATGGGGCTCAGAGTTAGTCTCAAAAACGTTTTTTGCCTGCTAATAGCATAAAAGGAGTTATATCAGTAAAGAATAACTTTAAAAAAAAAAAAAAAAAAAAAAAAAATTCTTTTATTTACAATACGAAAGAATCTATCATTCCCTTCTTTGTACTCATACGCAAAGCGATTCGAAGATGTTTGCTCCATAAGTTTTCTATCAACGCTTAAAAAATTAAAATAAAACGTTATATGAATAAAATTAAAACAACGTGAAAAATCTCAAATAATTGTCACGTAAAACAAGCCATCCAGCACGCTAACACTTCACGCATTCTAGGTTTTTGCTTTATAGTGCAGAAGCGAGCATATGTCTGTTTTGTCTATGACGTCACTTGTGTTTCAACAAATTATTCATCAATAAATAAGTATGAGGTGTGGATAATTTAATAAAACCATATCCACAATGGAAGCCCATTTCAAATAGTCTTAATTAGGTTTAGAACATAAATAATACAAGGTTAAAAAGTTTAACTTCTTACTGATGAAACGTAAATGGTGAGAAAGATACAGAAAACCAGACAGGATTTGTAAAAACAAAAAAAACTAGAAAAATAAAAATTGGGAAGATGTGCAATTAATAGATCAAAAATCATTTTTTACGTCAACCTTTTAACTGCATCCCCCACCCTCAATGAATGGCAACAGCCAGTCTGTGGGAGAAAATGCTAAGCCTAATTAAATACCCGCCACTTTGCCCATTATTATTTTTTCTTTACCCCTCCTCTAAGAATAGTTCCGAATCAACTATCCATGCTGTGAGGAGACAACAGGTATACCTGGGGTCAAACTAAGGGTCAACGGTAGTCCATCTATTGTGGCGCCATCTGTTAGGCGCAGCAACTCCGCCCGCATATATGTTTGCTTGCCGCTTCCTTGGACGTATTGTGTTGTATGTCCAGTTTTTCCTTGCTCCCTCCCGCCTTTCTTTTTTTTTCACCTGATTACCGACATTCGTGATTTCAAGTGGGGGTCGTTCTATAATTTACAATAATTTTCCAATTCAAAAGATTTATCAAATGCGGCATAGTTTTTATAAAATCTGAGCAAATTTTACGCAAATCTAAGGAGTATAAAATTTCAATTCAGCAATTTAAAACTATTTAACGCAAATATAGTCTTGATATATATGTTTGATTTTATTAAAATTTATTTGCTTGGAAAAAAAAATTGAAAATTTTAAAAAAAGTGAAACAAATATGATTTTAATAAATGAAAATAAAAATGAGAGCAAACGATTTAAAAAAAAAATATTAAAAAAAAGAGGTGCGCATACAAATTCTTCTAAAAAATGAACAATTTTTAAAATTGTTTTCATTTAATTATTAAAAACCGAAATATTCACTTTTGCAAAGATAAACTATTAACTATTAACTTTTTAACTATTGCTATAAAATTTGTTAAATTGATTGTCATCAATAAAAGTTGTATCAATATATTTTGAAAGAGAGGGGTGGGAACTTTAACAAAATAAATGGGGGATTTGTAAATATCTTCTGATTTGTTGCCAGAAAGCAGGAAAGCAAAGAACAAAAAGAGGACTTTTTTAATTCCCCCCCCCGTACTCGGCTTTACGGTTGTAATTCGTTCTAATGAGCGTTTCTCATTATTAAGACTGGCTCCTCGATCAAGATCTGAAACACGTAGATTAATGAAATACATACATTGTATCGTTGCGCGGCTACGTATTTTTTGTTACTCTTCTTTTCCAGAATACTTCGAACAGAAAAAGGATGGTTATAAAACGAGATAATCTATTTTAGATAAAATCGTTTGTTAAAATCCCTTGTAGTTCTTAGTCATTCATCTTAATTCATGTTCTTTCACTTCTTTGTTCTGAATTGACATTAAAAAAAGCTGGGTATAACTTAGAAATTTTTTTTAATGAATGAGTTCAAATTTTGCTGACAAAATATCTTAATTCACATTATCAAAATGAAAAAGGACCTTAATTAATAATAATCATGATCATCAAATTTTAGAATAAGAAAGTAAAATGATTTTTTAGCTGATGAGTTTAAACCATTTAATCAAATCATCACCATTTGTATTATTTTTCTGTCCGATATCACAATTTAAACTAAAATGTTATTATTTGACTTTTTGGTAGAAATTAAAATAATTTATTTAAATTTTTCAGATGGATAGGACAGTAATAACGTGTGAGTAAATTAACGTTTGCAATTGAGAATTTTTAAAAATAAGTTAGAATAACTTTCATGCAAAATCTTCGAAGAATCTTTGAACCACTAAGTTTATACAATAGACAAAATTTGCATTCAATTTTCAATAAAACTTTTGATGTAAAAAAGTTTTACCTACAAGAAAAGTGTCTGTATGTTTCATTTTATAAGGGAAAATATAGATTTAAAAATGGGAAAAAATAATATAAGTTTCTTTCACGAAATACTAGTTTATACCAATCTAAACATTAGTCTAATTACAAATGCTTAAAAAATATGCATGTTTTATCAATAAAAGGGAAGAGTTAAAATTTCAAATCAGCAATAAATTTATGTTTTTGACTGTTTTTTATTGTTATTACATTCCAATGGAACTGTAAAAACGATTTGCTTGTGGCATTTTAACTATTCTTCTTTTATTAATGGAACAAAATTAAAGATTTAAATTAACACTGAGATCAAACTGAGTTCAGTGGCTTTAAAGGAAACTCCATTCTTCAATCTCTTAATTGCGAATGACAACATAGTTAAGAGAACTTAACGAAATGGAAAATCTCTTGAAGTACTCTCTTCGAAACTATAAGGTTACAGCGAAGAAAAATTCATTCTTCACACTCTGGTGGAGACTTCAGATAAAAAAGATGACGATGAAGAGGTGTGGAAAGGATGGGGAAAGTGGAATAGCAAAAAAGACTACTTGGCAAGCCACTACGCGTGCTAACCTCAGCAAATTACTCCCCCAAAACGCAAACAACTTTGCTTGCTTCCAAATACAAGCAAACAAATTCATTGTTCTTTGTATGGGTTTGGCATCGTAATATTTATTTTGCAATTTGAAAACTTCTAAAATAGTTAGATTCCATTTTTATTGCACATGCAAGTTGTTATAAGAACACTATCTCAGCGTCTGGATTTGATGAAAGACAAAAACGTTTCATTTATTTATCATCTAGAAAAATAATTTTTAAAATTAAGTTTTTTTTTCCTTCTATGAGTGTACAATTTGGAAAGAATCCCGATAACAGAACTGAATCTGCAGCACTATCATAATACGTCCAATTTCGCATGCGACCCTAATTCAGTTAAAGATAATTAAAGTAAAAATTCAGCTTGATCTAACAAGCATGAAGAAAAATTTGCAAATATAAGTTCTTAAAATATTGTACATAAAAACTGATAATACATAAAAATGATGCTTAAATTTAAGTTGAATTTTATATAATCATACACATCATAATATATCACAATATATAAATCTCTATAGAGCAAAAAAAAAAAAAAATGTAATCAAGTAAAAGAAAAAATAATCTCGATTTTCGATTTTTTGCAATGTTCTTGCAATTTAACAACTTAATTTTAAAGATGTTTCAAAAAGGAGTCATAGTAGTTTTCTCCAGTTAGTTAGCTTGCTTTTTTATGAAAAAAAGAAGACTTAGAACTATAATCCGCTGCCGTGCTACAAAGGCTTGTGCTACCAGAAAAACAATCATATAAAGCAAAAACTTAAAACCTTACAGCTTTTTACTGTTACAAACTGTGCCAAAATTGAAAAAATTGCCATTTATGAACGTCAACTAGATATTTTAAATATTTTTTTTTAATTGTTGATAAATATATTGTCTCTGATTCTAATCAGTCACAGACTGAGACTTAATATGGAAAAAAAAAAGGCCATGATAAAATATATTTTTGTGCTCATGATATGGTATGAGCTCGAGGAAAACAATTTTCAGCGTATTCTTTTAAGAAGCGCAATCAGAATAATATGAACAAGACAGCATTGTCACAATACTGCTGAATTTTATACAGTTTGTCTGAATGCATGTAGTTCGCTATCAGATGTTCAGAACCAATATTTCTGCATTAATTTGAAATTCTAATGTAAGGTTCTTAATCTGATTGGTTTCGATTTGACGCAAAAAACTATTCTTAAGAAGGGATGGAACACCATTTCGAAATTACCGAAAAATCACGCGTCTGAGCCTGATTTTGGTTGTTCTAGCATTTACATCCCAGATTTAAAAAAAAGCATAAATAGTTTGCTACATGTAATGTATATAATTTAATAAGAATTCATTTAACAAAAACTCATCTTACAATTTTTTTTTTAAAAAAAAAGGAAGCATAACTTAAACTTTGAATTGCTAATGCACACTTTTTGAAAAGAAAACTGTCCGTGAATTAGCATATTCGAATCAGTGCTCATTAATATATTTTTTCTGCCAAAATATGAGACAAAAATCCGTGCTTTACAAAAATAAATTTATAACTTCATAGTTTGCTAACCATGCAGGAAAAATTAGGTTGCTATTTTGTCCTGGAAAAATCATGAGGCGAACAACAGTGGTTTTTTATTTACAAGGTCTGCAACTTCGCATTTTCAACCCCTTATAATCTTTTCATTCTAACAACAAACGCGGGGGTGGTCGGATTACAATGGAAGAAAAACTTTCTCTTTTGAGTTGTCTGAAAGCAGAAGGGGGTGCTGGCAGCACGACTATGAAGGGAGGGGGAGTAACAAAGGAGAAAGAGCAACTGTCTGTAATGTGGCACCAAATACCTAATAAATGGCATACATAAAAGGTAGGTCTTCCTCTTTTTTCGTAGAACCAGCGTAGGTGGGTGAGAAAGATGAAAAAAAGAAGAAAGAAAAAAGAGAAAAAAAAATACAGAACTGGCACAACCCCGTCAAGTATTTAAGAATAGTACCATGTCCGAAAATACGATGTCAGAGGTCATAGCAAAGAAAGTTTTGTGCTATATTTTTTTCTTTTTGTTATTCCTCTATATATTTCTATCCCCCTTATGCAGTTGTAAAAGAATAAATAACCAATATCGAATGGGTAATATTGGTAAAAAAGCAGTCTTTTTCAAGGGAACGAAAACTAAATAAAATTGTTGAGCAAATATAGAGTTTATAATTCTTTTGATTGTACAAGACTTGATTATGACCCAAGTACATACTATATGGGCCTCGGTCAGCCAGTTTTAAAGATCTTAAAATTTAAAATAAAAATATTAATAAAAATTTCCATATTTATTTTTGAATAAGAAAGATAACACATTTTTTTTTTTAAAGAAAACTTTTATAAGGTTATAAGGTTTTACTTTTTTTAAAGTTAAATTAAAAAAAATAAATATTTCAAAATTGTAGAAAGATGTAGACAAAAAAAATTTCAATTGACAGATAATGGGTTTTTAATGCCAAACATTTTGAATTTTCTGTGATTACCAAGCATTAAATTTATAGATACCGGAATTTTAAAAAAAATTTGCTAAAATTTTAATATTTTTCTTTAAAAAAGTTACATTACTTTTGATCATAAATTTGCAACCGATAAGTCGTATCGAATTGCATACAAGTCTACATTAAGCAAATCCTTCTAAACATAAAATAAATTACAAAAAATCAGAACACTTACCACAATTTAACTGCTCATTCGTGGTTGGATAATTGTCCTAATCCTGTTTCACTGGGATTGCGAACACATAAGGCACTAAGTTTATGAACTGGTGACGGATTTAATGAGCCTTCTTCCATAGACAACAATGGTGGTGGACTACCTTTAATGCGAGGTGGTGATGAAGACGATGACATAGGTGCAACAGGATCGTCAAAGCTAGAACTGCTATCAGGCAGTTCATACCTTGCATGAGTTCTCATATGGCGCGTAATCATGTCCCTTCGGCATGCAGCATACGGACACTGTGGACATTTGTATGGTTTTTCACCTGTATGTGTCCGTTGGTGAGTGCTCAAGTGATCAGACCTGCTAAACACTTGTCCACAAACACGACATGTGTAAGGTTTGATGCCAGTATGTAACCGCATATGTCGCGTTAACATGTCAGATCGTGCGAATGAGCGTTTACAAACGTCACACATATAACTTTTTGTAGATGAAGAAGTGGTTGTGTCAGCTTGTTGACGACTCCTGTGTCTACTGGCCATATGTTTGGCCAGTCGATCGTGCAATGAAAACATTTGACCACAGATGGGACAAACATAAGCCACGTCAGATCCAGGCGTAACCACCTCGACCACAGGGCTTACATTTCTTGGGGAAGCCATAGATGATTCGATTTTGGGAGTTGACGACATCATTGTGGGTGGTGTCCGAGAATCGAATGGGCTACCACCCGAAGAACCTCGTGGGCTTCCTTGGGATTCGCTCGAAAAATCTCTCGCTAATGGTGAGAGGGGGAAGCATGTTGTCGATGATGACGTCGAATCAGAACTAGCCGGAGTATTTGATTTCACTGACAAGTCTAACGGTGAATCTTGAGGAGTTGAGCTATTATCAGAGTCCAAACTTCCTCCTTTTTGTGGTATGTTCAAAGGTTTTGGCCTTCCATTACGAGCGGTAAAGTTAAAACTTTCCGTCTGAGATTCTCTGGGAGGCGGAGGTGGCATCGCGGGGTGTAAGCCAAGGTGAGGATGGCTCGATGCATCTCCACCAGATCCAGTTACTCCAGAATCGGCTAACCATTGTTTTAAGTCCGAATCTGAATGGCTTCTTCTGCGATAATACAGTTCTAGCTTGTTCTGCAACAGGGCAGAATAGGGAGGGGTGATAGGAGACACGGGAGTCATCGGAGTACCAGTGGCCATCATCTTGTGAAAAAGAGCACGCTGTTGGTCAAAGTCCCAATCAAAAGGATGGCCCGGTGGCTGAACGGCCAATCTTCGGCAAAGATGGCAATCACAGATGGGAAAACTCGGGATACTAGTGTTGAGGTGATGCGAAAGAGCGGTGTTCCCCACCGATGCCCCGTTGCCCATGACAACGGGGTGTTCTCCGGAGTAAGGATGATGCGAGATCACGATGGGATGCGAAAGACGAGGAGGTGGTTGTAAGAGTCCCGGTGGATATGGCAATATCTGGAGCGGAGTAGGGCGATTACTTGACAGCCTGTTGCCTGAAGGCGAACTGAAAGCGTCATCATCTCCTTCTATATCTTCCTCCTTGGGGGGTGTCTCAACACCCGACCCCCTTACCAGGGGGGTACAGATACCTGTGGGAGACCTGCAGCTTTCTCTCATTGTGTGTGCGAACGGAACTTTTTTCTGCGGAGAACAAACGGGGAAGGTCGTTGGTCCCCCACCTTCTTCTGGAGGTGAAAGCAAAGGGGAGGGTTCTCCTTGGAGTGATGGTCCGGCAACCAAATCTCTCTTTTCCGCAACATCCAGCAAATCTAATTTCACCTGCACGCAGTGGCTCATTTCAGAATCAATGGAGAGCTGCTAGAGGGAGAAAAAAAATTGCATACGTTAAAAAGCAGCAACGAAAGCGATATATTATTAAATTTTTTAAAACAAAATTTTAATTTTCGGCTACATAAATTTTTTTTTTTTGTAAAATCTCTTTTTATAAAGTATTTTGCTTATAAAGTACCCTTTTTTTAAATGTTAAAAAGGGTCTGTTCAAATATTGCTAAACCATCTTTAAGTAATTTTAGAATCCACCCTCTTGTCAACAAAATAAGTAAATCCCCTCTTTCCTATACTTACATAAGATTTATTTATTTATTTTTTAAAATTTAATTTTCTTGACAAAACTTGAAATTAATGCAATTTTAAGTTATTGTTTTTCGAATATATATTTTTATGTAATACTGTATATATTTTTACTATTCATTATCATTTATTTATATTAATTTTTCAAAGTGTAATTTTTTTCTACGTAAGCTTTTTTTTCTTCTTTCCTTTACCTTGTCAACAAAGATAAGCAAATCGTAAAACCTCTAAAACAGCTTCTAGCTAAAATAGGCTGTCAAAATCAAAAATTATTCACCCTTTTTGTGACAGTTATAACAAGAGCCTAGTGGGAAAAAATTGACTTTTCGAAAATGTTACTTAAATTATGTCTTTTGAAAATCCTCAAATTCATAAGTTTCGAAAGTTGTTGAAGAACATTAATTTATTAAGCTAGTAGTAAACAATTTCTTTAAAGTTCGATACCAGCATGAAAAAAAAAAAAAATTCCGGTAAAATCACCTTGCTTTATAGTAATAATATTTCTGGTTTTAAAAAAAAACTGTTATTCTTGTTATAAAACCAAAATAAACGGTTTTTAGATAAACCATTCATTTAGTAATTTCTCCGTTTATAATAGCTACAGTTTACCAGAAATTCTGGTTTTTAAAATTATAGTTCTTATAAACCACAGATTTGGTAAAAAATATAAAACTGAAAAATAAATTTACCGAATAAATGGTTTTATTGCCCTGCTCAAGAATATCTGGATAAAATTACCAAATTTTATCTCATACCCTATTTAATTGTTAATTTTACCAAAATCTTGACCAAAGCGCATCTTTAAAAAATAATTAGCTTTTTGGAGTTTTCAATTAAGACAGAAACACGATAAATTTTACCCTATTCTGGTAGGTTTGAGCGTACATTTTCCCTCAGTGTGCTTGAATCAAATTCTTGTATAAAGTTTTAAACTTTTCAAATATAAGAGATTTTTTAAGGAAAAAAAATTTTAATTTCGTTAAAATAAAAATTAAAAAATTAAAAATTACTTTTTGCGGGGGAGCTCTCATCTTGGATCGGGGTGCATTATCCTCGTCCACCCTAAACGATTTTTCAGGATATGGTAAAAATACACTATTCTCGCTTGGACTGCTACTGGTACGGCCTCCTTCATCTGAAGATGTAGAGTCAACACTTCGACGTTCCACCTTAAAACGAAAAAGAAAAACATTTAAGAAAAAACAAATAAGAAACTTATAATTAATCAGAAAATATTTAAATTTAAGGAATAAATATTATTAAAACGTTCTTTGTGGTACTTGTACTGTGTCAATGGCAGAAAAAGCATGTACTCCAAAAAATAAATTTAACTTAGAATCGTAATATCGGTATCTTACCCAATAATATGGTGCAAGTTACTACAACCTTGATAAGGTGTTAATTAAATCTATTCAAGATTAATCTTTGTTGCGTGTAATCAAGCTTAAGCATTACGACGTGGTTTAACCAGCTCTAAAATTTTTACAGTGTATTTTGGTTCATAAAATGTTAAACAATAAAAGTAAACTGTATAAACATCAGAGGGAAATAAAAATTTATAGTGTGTTTGAAATAATTATAATTTTTTTACACGGTCAAAGTTTCATCGCAATTATAAAAAGGATGACAACTTTGCATTGAATTATAATATAGTTACCTTGAACAGTAATATGGTGTAAATTTCCCGCAATCTTAAAAAAGAAAAATCAATTCAATGCGATCTTAATTGAACCATGCTTCCGCTTGAGTTGAACCGAAGTATCGCGTCATCAAGTTTAAAAAGTACGATAATATGGTTAAACTCAGCACCATATTAGGGTTGTAAAAATTTTACAGATAATTTCGTTTCGTAAAATGTTTAACTAATGAAATTGAACCATATAAACATCAGAAAAAAAACTTACGCTTTTTAAAATAATTTATTCAAGCATTAATAAAATTGAAATTTTCTGAGAAGGCATCATTCTCATGATCTGGAGTGGCTTAACAAAAGTCCTCAAGAATGAATAAAAATTACAACATAACTAATTCATAACTTTGATTTTTTAATTTAGTCGAAATTTTTTCACAATTCTAGGAAGGAAGACAACTCTGCATTGAATTACAATATGGTTACTTTGCTTTAAACGGTAATATGGTGTAAATTTTCCCCAATTTCAAAAAAGAAAAATCAATTTAATGCAATCTTAATTGAACCATGTTTCCGTTTAAGTTGGGCCAAAGTATCGCGTCATCAAGTTTAAAAAGTACAATAATATGGTTCAACTCAACACCATATTAAGGTTGCAAAAAATTTGCAGAATATTATGAATCAGCACACTCTTAAATTTCTAACAGTGCTCATCCATAAAGCGTCAAACACTCATCCACAATTGCAGTAAGCGTTTTAGTTTAGTCATGTGAAAGAAACATTAGAAAGACACATTCTTATAAGTATACATGTCGAATTGTAAAAAAGATGGACAACACAAATGATTACCTGCGTAGCAAGTTTATCCAAAACTGCGCTTAATCTCTTTCTTTTACGAGTGTTTTCATTAAAGTAATCCGTGACTGGTCCCTGATTAGTTGATGCAATGGATGGAGACGGAGCTGATTTGCTGCCTGAAACAATCTTAATTAGAACATAACGAATTGCTACAAAATTTAATTTTCAAATAAATTTTAGAATTTTTTTTTACCGTCGTCTTCTTCTGCAGTGCTTGTTGTCATGTTATTTCCAATGTCCGAGACCAAGCTCAGACTGTCAGCCATAGTGAGCTCAACATTTTTCCGACAAAGCGCTTTTTATGTAAGCAGATTCAACAGGGAGAAAGTTTCTTTAAATCATCCAGAAGAATACCTTATTCAACGTGTTAGTATCTGTAAAAAAGACAAAGGAAAAGTTAAAGCACATTTTTATTCTTGACAGTGTTAACAAATAAATATAATTAAATGATGCACACAATTTAAGGCTGTAAATTACGACGCAAAATGGTTTGTAGGAAAAATATAGGCTTAATTAAGATAAGAAAACTAAGATTGGGATGTTTATTTCTGTTATCAAGAGAGAAAAGCAGCACATAAATCCTTACAAGACAGTAATTTCTCTTTATTTGAAGAAAAATCCATTGCAAATTGTAAAAATGGTTAAATGTGAGGAAAATATTCAATTTGAAAAATTGAAACTTAAATTAGAATAGAAATTACGATTTGCTTATTTTTCTAACTAGTGGGATGAGTTCAATACCAGAAATATGATTACTTAACATTTGGAAGGGTTGCAGTTATCTTTATAGCAGGGAAAGGCGTTATATTTTAACATTTTACATTCAACCTAATTTAGCTATTTTACCTATGCATGTTTATATATCTTTAACGTGTGTATGCAGAATATTTCACATTGCTCTTGGTTGCTGATATGAATAAACTAATGGTCATATAATTAATTGGCGGGTGACTAAATAAAAGACGAACTAGTTGAAAAGTAAATTACTGGCACGTGAACTAGTTGGCAGAAGAACTGGCTAACTAAACATTTAATAAATGTCAAACGAACTGATTGAAAAGTAAATTAAAACTAATGGCTCAGCAACTGATCAAAAACTAAGTAAATTGGCAAATGGTACACTAACTGATTGAAGACTAACCATATGAAAAGCTTACAATCAACGTATTTTAGATATTCTAGCTAATATATGTATACAGAATATTTCAGCATATTTATGCTGATTTGAATAAACTAATTGCCATATAACTAAATGTTGATGACTAAGTAAAACACGTGTGAACTAGTTGAAAAGTAAATTAATGGCAGGGGAACTGGTTAATCATTGGTTAAAAAGTTAATAAATGGCAAACGAGCTGACTGAAAAGTAAATTAAAATTGATGGTTCAGCAACTGATCAAAAACTAAATAAATTGGCAAATGGCACACTAAATGTTGAAGCACATGAAAAGCCAGAAAACTAAATTCAGAATCCGGTTGAAAGGTAAATTAATAATACATAAAATTGAGGAGATCATAGGTTGATAGTTTGATTGATAGTTGAGGAGATAGTTTATCGATTTGTCTAAGATTATTAGTTAAAAATTTAAACAACCTAAATTGACTAAAGTTTAACTAAAAACATTTAAATAAATAAAATTCCTAACATAAAATATATAATCCAACCAGCCTTAGTCTTAAAAGGAAGAACAATAATGGAAGAAAAAAAAGTACATGAGCATGAACTGTTTCAATGAGCTAGATCCCCTTTGTTCTCTCAAATTAATTTGACAAGTGTGTGTTCAATGCTGACACTCAAGTGTAACAAAGCTTCCGTTGTCACTTGGACATATGCAGGGACTATTATCCAAAGGCATGGAGCCAAATCTTTTGGCAACTTTACCTAAGCATTTGCGCGTGTTAGTATTTTTTTTCTACCTCTCACAGATACTTCTTTTTTCCCTTTAATTTTTTTTATCTTATTTTTTAATTACTTTTCTGCGATTGTTTTGGATGGTGGTGCAAAGTGATTGTTGCGGTGCGCATTCTAAAAACAGTTCTATGGGCGACAATGTGAGTGTGGGAGAGTGGAGAAGGAGTGCATTTCATCCATTGTGTCTAGCGGAATTTATTGTCTTGCCCGAAATGTGCCACCCTCGCAAGATGTTGTTTCAAAAATAAATCCCCCATACTCAACGACAGCTCAGTTAAAGAAAACAAAAAGAAGGTAACGGGAAAAGAAGAAAAAAAAACCGTAATGATACCTTTCTTTAAAGCATAACGGCATTCCCTACATAATTCATTCGTAAATAAATTGTTCCTCTGATCTAAAGTCTCCTACCTAGTATAGGAAGTGCGAAGGTAGGCAACGAACAAAGATTCAAACGTAGCTAAAGCTATAATTAAACCCTTAGAAATATCTTAAAACACTTTAAGCGCATTAAAAGAGTGGTACATGAGATAGTTCCGCTTTTAAATACCTATTAAAAGTAGGGTTTTAACTAAAAATATCATAGAAGAAATTCCTTAGGTTGTGCGAACAAATTTAGGTTACTAAAATCGGCTCTACGTTTACAATATCCGCATCTTGAACCTTTTAATAGGGTGCAAATTTGCTGCAAACTTAATAAGATGTTACCACAGTATCGTGTAACAGGATAAAGAACTACGATGATATGGCTCTTTTTAACGCCATATTACTGTTGTAGCAAATTTGAACGATATTATGAACGATAGAAATTCTTACGGTTGAATAATTAAGGTTAGTAAAATTGTTGAATCACAATAACTATTGTTGAATAACTAAGTTGAATCACAATATCGATATTATGAACGATAGAAATTCTTACGGTTGAATAATTAAGGTTAGTAAAATTGTTGAATCACAATAACTATTCAACAATTTTACTAACCTTGTTGAATAACTAAGTAGGGTTTATATAACTATTGTTGAATAACTAAGTTGAATCACAATATCGGAACTTTGAAACTTTTAATACGGTGCAAATTTGCTGCAAAATTTAATAAGATATTACCATAATATCGTGTAACAGGTTAAATTACTACGATGATATGGCTCTTTTTAACGCCATATTACTGTTGCAGCTAAATTGAACAATATTATGAACGATAGAAATTCTTATGGTTGAGAGCATAAATTTAGGTTAATAAAATCGTTCTACGTTAAATCACAATATCGGAACCTCGAAACTTTTAATATGGTGCAAATTTGCTGCAAACTTAATAAGATGTTACTATAGTATCGTGTAAATAAATTAAAGAACTAAGGTGATGTGACACTTTTTTACACCTTGTAGTAAATGTGAGCGATATTATGAACCAAGCTTTCTATCAGTGCATATTAAAAGTTAGTGTTTAAGTTAGTAAAATTTGACAGTTCAGATTGGAAATTGTTACCTAGTTTAAAACATTTTATATAGTACTATACTTTCAGAAAAATGGATCTATATTGAACCATAATATCGACACTTTGAAACTTAATACGATGTAAATTTACTGAAACCTTGGACGTTAAATTGAACCACAGTGTTGTGTAATCAAGTTAAAGAAGTATAGTAACATGGTTCCTGTTAACACCATGTTAAGTTTGCAGCAAATTTGAACGATATTAATGTTGAACATGATTTGAAATTTCTATCGGTGAAAAAAAAAGTGCGAAGGTGGGCAACGAACAAAGATTTAAACGTAGTTAAGGCAATAATAAAATTTTCAGCTATATTTTAAAACACTTTATGAGCTTTCTAAAAGTTGTCAGAAATGGTCCCACTTATTTAAAAATCATATTTTTTAACTAAAAATATAACAGAAATTCCTTAGGTTTAGAGTACAAATCTAGGTGAGTAGAATTAGATAGTCATAATGGGTACAAATTACAATATTTTCTGTAATTCAACATTTATTTAAATAAAGTGGCATGCATTGGTAATGATTCAGGTTTTTTTTTTTTTCTTCGAAGGTTCTGTTATCGCATGAAATGATACTTTTTTTTACGAATAATATGCTGATTTCGTAACTTTTGTAAGTTTGTAACAATTACTTATGACTGTTAGGTCAAGTTTAGCCTATCTTTAGCTAGCGCTCCCATTGCTAATTCTGAAAATGGCGCAAAACGGAGGAAAAGCCACAGTTTTGAGAAAATGAAAAGCGTTTGTGGTCTAATTTTTTAATATTTGAAGACTTGCTCCAATGCTGTATTAACTGGTCTCATAAAACTCACTGTAAAAAATAGGAATAAGGCATTGATTTTGATAATTTTCATTTTGATAAAAAAAATGTCGCCAAATTGGCTATTTTTAAAAATTTTAATAACTTTTGAAATATTTAAGTTATTTGCCCGCTCTATAGCCCAGATAATTCTTTCACGGCAAGATGGCATGTATAGTTTAAAACTATAGCTTTACTTCAGCTTTAAGTAGTTGTATTTTATTTACTATTCATCACAGAGAAATGATTTTTTTCCCTTTAGTAAATGCAAAAAGATAGAAGTTCACTCGATATTAGACTGTCAAAAAGAATGAACTATTAATAAAGAATATCTAATCGGCAATCAGCATGTTTTTTTTTAATCTTGTAAGAAAAAAAAGGAAATGTGTTAGGTATTTTTTAAGAAATACAGTCAAATTTGTCGCACATTATTCATCACTAGAATGATTTTTTCCCCCTCTTTATAACTGCGATAATAGCGATATTTGCTCGATATTTGGCTATTAAAAAATATTAACCATTAATTAAATAATTTCCCCGCAACAATCGGCTTTTTTTTCCTCCAATTTTATAGTATAATGTGAGAAAAAAGGAAATATTTTAAGGATTTTGTACTCAACGTAATAGCATATCATTTACCATTAATCATATCTTTTACTAATTTCAAAAAAGCGAGATGCTTCGTTGGTACTAAACTGTTAGTCAAAAATGTGTTGCTTAGGAAAATAATAGCTGAAAAGTGCGGAGTAAGATTTTAAGAAACCTCAACATGCTTACAGTCCAAAAAAAAAAAAAAAAAGTACCTCAAATCCATGAGGTTTAATCACGACCTCTCTCAATTATACAATTGGTAACAGGAAACAGTTGTAGCCACTTGCGCGACCTTTCTGCCTTTTACTTGATAGTCACTAATCGTCGTCGGGCGTATCCACCCTCTATCATTAGGAAGTAAGGCTCTATTTTAGGTATAAGGTTTTTTAATATTCTTTTGTTTTTCTCTCGCTTCGGGAAGCTAACGAAGGCAAACGAGAAGTTACAACTTCCGCCATTTAATTGATAGAGAGAGAGAAGAACATCTGCTTCTTTTACTTTTCTTCTTGTTTAACACTGTATTAAATCATAAGGATTATGATTCCACTAAATTGTCGTTTAGTGCTCCGCTGACTATCAA